GCCGGAAGCTTCTGGAGGCACTGCGATGCGATACTCGTGAAATTCCCGGTGAATTCCGTGTACTCCGCCAAAATCACCGTCCCCCGAGCCACGAAGCTATAGATCAGCGACTGCTGGCCCATTTCAGCCAATAACCCTAGGCTACACCGGCTCTAAACGATCGCAGAAACCTAGATCTCTCCAACGAGAGAGAAAGCTAGAGAAAGAGAAAGAACAGAAGATCGAAGAAGAAAAAGTAGATGGCGGTGTTTCTCTCCTCTGCCGCTGAAGAAAAGCACCGTGAGGTGGGAATGGTGGCACGCTTTGCGAGCGTAAATCACAGCTATTATATTAGTAGGGCGCGTAAAGCTAAAGATAATTTTGGCTGTCGACGGTGACCGGCTATAGCCGGTAACAGCATTCGCCTTTAAAAAGGAGTGTAAAACGCTATAAATTAGTTGTAATTTTTCTTTAACAGCGTAAACGGATTAAGGAGCCAGCTTGTTGTCAGACGGGCGTTAGGGAACTGCCATTCGTTTATAGAAAAATAACGGAAAATACCATCGCGATGTTGACCGGTTGTTCACCGGTGCCGTGCCACAATGGTTCCGCTGCTGGGTGGTGACGTAGGGTTTGATCGGAAGTCGATAGGCGCCTGCCTGACTGCGAAAGCGCAACATTAAATTAAATTTTAGGTGATAATTCAAAATCTCTCCAAATGAGACATTTTTTACTATTTCTTAAATCAATTTATTAGCAAAAAAATTTATTTTATTTACTAAAAATTTACTTTTAAAAGTAATAAGAAAGTGATCTCAAACCTATTGTAAGGCTACATTTGGGGAGAAATTCTTCTGTGAGGACACCAGATGAGAAAAAACCGTACGGTTTGGGCCCTGTGAACAATAAAAGCGCAGCATGAACAGTAAAGCGCAGTGAGCTGTGCTTTTATTGTTCACAGAGACAAATCGGACGGTTCTCCCCGTCTAGTGTCTGCACATAATAATAATTCATCATGTTTGGAACAGTTTTCGTACTGTTTTCTGAAGCAAATTTTTATACTACAAAGTTGCTTTGAAAATAATAAAAAAAAATGTCTCAAGCAAAATCTAAGACTTTGTTTGAGACGGCTTTCTTAATGCTTTTTAAAGTAACTTCTTAGTTAAAAAATATTTAATTCATGAAACTTTTTGTACTAAAAAGGTGCTGTAAAAAGTAATAAGAAAGTTGCCTCAAACGAAACCTAAGACTTCATGGGACAACTTTTTTACTATTTTTTAAAGCAATTTTTAGTACAAAATTTTGAATTAAAAAAAAATGTATTAAAAAGCTACTTTATATGACAGTAAAAATATCGTCCCAAATGAAACCTAATTTTATTTTATATATTGATTATACAAATTTAATTATCACAAATATAATTAGTAAGCGACAAGCAAATAATTAGTAACTGTTGATTTGTTCGAAGAAGTATAATAGCCCCAAGTGCTTGGAATCTGATTAGTGAAAGGGTCATATATTTCGGCTTTCATTATTGCCTTAAACTTAGAATAAGACTTTCGTCAATATGATTCTAACGAAACTTTGAAGATTATTCAATATTACTTATATTATTACATGCTAAAAAAATTATAATAATTTTTTTTTCTTTGTATTGCGCAAAGACTAAGAGAATGTCATATGAAGATTATGACGAAAATTTTGAAAAAGCAAAAAATATTGAATCTTTGAAAAAATCCAGTACAGAAAACAAAAAATATAGAAGTCTATTTTCTCCTTAATTTGAAGAAAACTATATTATGAAGTATGTGTTATTGATTTGATCTGCCAATATAGTGGAGAATATTGAAGAAGCGTTGAAGAGTAATTGTTGAACACTGGTGGTCAGAAAAAAAAAATGTCAGATATTGATGATTAGGCAATGATAGATTTGGGGACTTGCCCTTCTAACCCATACGTCAATGTAAAGCGTCCAACCACTCGTTACCATGCAAAGGACTGGCCTACGAGAGAGATTATTTTGTGCGGACGCCGAACATAGCTCTATATTCGGATGCCAGTCAGAATGATCCACGTCAGCAATACCGAGAAGTACCGAGCCCCAGTACCGCTGTACCGAGCCATGAGCACAGCGGAACCATTGTGGCACGGCACCAGTGAACAACTAGTCAACATCGCGATGGTATTTTCCGTTATTTTTCTATAAACGAATGGCAGTTCCCTAACGTCCGTCTGACAACCAATCTGGCTCCTTAATCCGTTTACGCTGTTAAAGAAAAATTACAACTAATTTATAGCGTTTTACACTCCTTTTTAAAGGCGAAGGCTGTTACTTGCCAAAATTATCTTTAGCTTTACGCACCCTACTAATATAATAGCTGTGATTTACGCTCGCAAAGCGTGCCACCATTCCCACCTCACGGTGCTTTTCTTCGGCGGCAGAGGAGAGAAACACCGCCATCTACTTTTTCTTCTTCGATCTTCTCTGTTCTTTCTCGTTCTCTAGCTTTCTCTCTCGTTGGAGAGATCTAGGTTTCTGCGATCATTTAGAGCCGGTGTAGCCTAGGGTTATTGGCTGATATGGGCCAGCAGTCGCTGACCTGTAGCTTCGTGGCTCGGGGGACGGTGATTTTGGCGGAGTACACGAAATTCACCGGGAATTTCACGAGTATCGCGTCGCAGTGCCTCCAGAAGCTTCCGGCGAGTAACAACAAGTTCACCTATAATTGCGACAACCACACCTTCAACTATCTTGTCGAGAATAATTTTTGCACCTACGAAAACTTGTTTTACATAACTTTCGCAAAGGACTTGCTCGATATACTTGCAACCAACAAGGGCTTGGCTAGATGTCTCATAATTAAATGAATAACTATAGGAAAGATAGAAAGTCACTCAGGCATCTACAAGTTTATGTCACATGTCATGTATAGTTTGTAATAGATCATAACTAATATTGTATTTTATATTTTATTTATTGTATGTAGCCTTCAAACCCCATAAGTTAATTGTAAAGAGACGTATTTTGAATATTTGGATACAATATTGATAGGAAACACTAGGATTCACAAGTTTTCCTAGCCAAAATCAGTAAACTGCAACAGATTTATTGCTGTCCACAACAGGAAACAGCCCAAAAATAGAGAAAAACAGGAGTTTTACACGAGAAATCTGAGAAAAAACGAAGAAAAACTCTTGTATTTCACTAGTAGATGAATAAAACAGCAAAGATACAATTGATCCTCAATTCGAGAGGAGGATCGATCTCTCCCAAATCTCTAGACGCCGCTAGAGCCCAAAGAAAACCTAATTCTAAGAGATCTCAAATTTCAGCCAAATTCAAGATACCCAAACCCTAGAAAAATCAACTATTTAATGCATACAATTCAAAAGGAATTCCCTAAACAATCCCTACAATCAATTTCCCTCCTAAAATCCATTCAAAAACCTTCCTATTCGGGCGTGCGGCTGAATCGGCGGCGTGCGTGCGGAAACAAGAGGCGGAGCTTCTGCCTCGTTATGGCTGGGCCGGTCCCGCGTGGACCGGTCTAACAAATATCTTTTTCACACTTTCTAACATTTTGAGCAAACTTGTACCCTTATTTTTTTTCTCATTATTCATGCTCACCAAACTCTCTATAAACTCTCCGACATTTTCCTAAAAAGTTATTTGCTAGTAAGATTAGGTGTCATCCACAATCAAATTCGAATGTAATTTTCTCAGCCAAACAAGTTGATAAATCACTCTCAATATACTGTTAAGAGTTCACACAAAACTTTAATGAACCAAATCATCATGATAAAGTGGCCATGAATGATTCAAATTACATTAGAGCATACAAACAGACCATTTTCCCTTTTAAAATGGCCAATCTATGGCATTTTTGTTAGCAATAGACAAGCCCTTTCTTTTTTAGCCGTGTTTTCTCTGTAGTTGTTCTTGTTTTAGAGTATATTATCTTGTTTGGTAATGATCTTAAATCTTCAAGTACTAAAGAGCGTTTGGAATTACTTTTTTATTTTATTTATATTTTAATATGAAATAAAATATATTTATTTAATATTCTATAAATTATGTTATTATTTTTACTGAGTATTGTGTAAGACAATAATAACTTGGCAATGAAAGTGACTGATTGTTGCAGAGACCGATGGCCAGCAATAGTAAACAAGGGTGGGAGTGATTTCAGTTTTCTTCCTGATACGGACTACAGGTGAATGCCCTCAAGGTGTTTGAATAATTGTCTCACAGACTGCAATTTTTGGTAAGACATATTTACTTTACTTTACATACATCTAATCAATGCATGCATCTAACCAAACAAAAAAATCTATTCCTCTACATTTACTTTACTTCAAACCAAACAACCTAAAAATATTTATTTTACATTACATTCACTTCACAATCAACCAAATGACAACACCTAAAAAAATCCAAAATAATTTTAGACTTTTTATGAAAACTTTGATTGATTTAAAAAAACAACTAAAATATACATAATAAATATATTTTGTGCCGTTGCCAGGTCTCAAGTCCTAGATGAGAAAAGTGAAAGATTGCATTAGGTAGTTGACAACTAACATAAAAATTGTTGAATAATCATGACATGAAATTTAGCCGACCCCACCTAGTGAAGCAAAGACTTGTTTGTTGTTGTAGTAGTAGTAGATAAAATTAAAACAATAAATCATTCGATGTGGTGCCTAAGTTTAGGGAGAAGTACCAAAACTGTGAAGTATCAGGTCTTTATGAAGAACTAGGCACCTGGGCACATGCGATCCAGTCCAGTCCAGTCCAGTCCACTTTATATCTTCCAGCTTAAAAGCTTAAGCTGGTGAATAATCGAAGATTTCTCCCCATAATCGTTGAGAAAGATGAATGCCATAAGGCCCATAACGTGATGAACGAGAATGAATGGTCCAAATCGTCAGAATAATATCAGCTGTATTAATAGCAAATCAACGCACAAGATTGAGCAAATTATAAAATTTAGAGCAATCACATCACGAACATGTTAACAGAAACATAAGCCAGCAAATCAAATCAGTCCATCCAAGTAAAGAAATGTACAGAAAATTTAAGTATTATTTGGGACGGCTTTTTTACAGCTTCTTAAAGCAACTTTTAAGTACAAAAATTATAATTTTTGTACTAGAAAGCTGTTTTAAGTAGTAAAAAAGCCACACCAAATGAAGCCTTAAACATCACGCTTAACCGATCAATTATAATGACCAGTCTCACTATAAAAAAAAAAATGATCAGTCTCACTAACATTCTGTTTTTCTTTCTATTTAAGAAGATTAAAAGCATATAGATGAGCTCAAGACTCATAAATTGCTCCCTCTTGTGTGTACCAGTTTTTTCTTTTCAAGATTCTGAAGTGAACTCTCTCATGAGAGTTGAATCCATGGATTTATGATTCGGAGGCTGCTTTAGCTGCAGAAGATGGGAGAGGCCGGCAATTACATGCATTCGGCTGCTTGGAACCCCTGTTTTTGCCAAAGCTCTTCCATGTTTATCGAGCAGTACGAAGCAGGGAACATACTTTATGTCATAGTGAAGGAGCTGTACAGAGAACCTAAACTTTCAGAAGCTATTGAGCACAACATAAGAAAATTTTACAAGTGCAAGATGGACTAAATAAAATAATAACAAATAGAAAAGGAAACTCGGAAGAAACCTCTTTCCATGTAACCTATAGGTACCATTGGCAACATTTTCACCGATCTTGAACAATGGAGGCAGAGCATTTGCATAAAACTCTTTGCTTCTTTTGGAAATGATAATGAAAATAATAGAATGGAATTGAAAATTGATTTCCCTCACTGGTTTGGTTGATGAGAGAATTAGTTAAAAGATATTCTCATTTCTTTTTTGGGTTGGGTGGGTGTGAAACTGCCAATAAAAATGCATTGTTCGCATTTTATTAGAAAAATAGATTTTCTATTAACTACATTGCAATCAAAAACTCAAATATATTCATAGTAATTCTTTCAAGCCAAACAAACCATTAGCTTTGATAGAATGTGTTTAAGAGGATTTAAAGTGTTTAGTTCATTAAAATATCATGTGTGGTGCTATGTTATTAGCAGATGCCAATTGTTTGGTTTATTGACATCTTTAAATAATAATCCTATAAACAGCATTTATGTCATATTTTGATGCCGTCTAAATGTCAGTTAGGATTAGCAATTTTGCTCAAAACTCTAAACTCGTTCAAGTTTTGAGACAACTTAAAATCCACACTAAAAATTTTAAGTCAAATAAGAAATGCACAAAAAGTGATTCCGGTTGGCGCAAAATATATGAAGTACATCAAATTTTTATATATAATTGTGCATTCAACAAGTGAAGCAAAAGTTTAAATTCGAACCTCACTCGCATACAGCAGAGGTTCAATCAAACCTCTCCTCTCACTACTGCATTTCTCCTTTTTTTTTTTTTAATTATTCGAGTAAACCCAAACTCATTTTGAATTACCTGAGAATCAACTCATTTCGAGTCAAAACTACATGACTTGAAATACATTTCAAATTCAAGTTGGTCAAGACTCGGTTGTTTCAGGTTTGATGGTAGTTTAACTCTCTCAACCACTGGTCAATGGGAGCCCTAATGTTGGATCATAATCATCTTTGATCTTTTCAGATAACATTACACTACAACAACAACATCAAGCCTTTACCCCATTACGTGAGGTCGGCTACATGAATCCTTTTTCGCCAATGTCCTCTTAAAAGTCAAATTCTCGTTTAACATCTAATAAAGAATGATCATTTTTAATATATTATAACCAAGTCTTTTTAGGTCTGCCTCTACCTATCTTAACATAAGTCAAATCTAATACCTCTACTTTCCTAACCGGGTCATCGGAAAGCCGCCGTTTTATGTGACCAAACCATCTAAGGCGACTCTCTCTAATATTATCTTTTACTGGAGCTACTCCAACCTTTTCACATATATGCTCATTTCATATCCTATCTCTAAGGGTAAAGCCACTCATCCACCTGAGCATCCTCATCTCTGCCACACTTAACTTAGCATTATGCTTCTCTTTTAATGGCCAACATTTGGCACCATAAAACATTGCAGGCCTCACCACCATCTTATAGAATTTTCCCTTAAGTTTGAGGGGTACTTATATCACACAACAAACCCGATGCATTCCTCCACTTCAGCCATCCAACTTGAATTCTGCTGATAATATCCCCATCTATTTCACCATCACTCTGAACAATAGATCCAAGGTATCTAAAACATGTACTCTTATTAATGACTTGATCGCCCAAAGTCACAATCCCCTCACTAGGTCTATTACTACTAAAATTACACTCCATATATTCCATTTTAGATCTACTCAAGCGAAAACCTTTAGACTCTAAGGTTGACCTCCATAATTCAAGTTTACCTTCAACTCCCTCTCTAGACTTATCAACAATAAGAATGTCATCAACAAAAAGCATACATCAAGGTACATCCTCTTGCAAATGTCTAGTGAGAACATCCATGACTAAAGCAAAAAGATATGGGCTTAAGGATGATCCTTGATGTAACCCAACCGAAATAGGGAAATACTTGGTCAAACCATCTTGTGTTTGAACACAAGTAATAGCTCCTGCATACATATCTTTAATGATTTGAATATAAGCATTATTAACTACTTTTTTTCGAGAACTCTCCATAGCACTTCTCTTGAAACTTTATCATATGGTTTTTCTAAAGCAATAAATATCATATGTAGATCCTCCTTAATTTCTCTATATTTCTCCATCAAACCTTTTAATAAATGTATGGCTTCCATAGTCGACCTACCCGGCATGAATCCAAATTGATTTTGAGAAACATTAGTATCACGCTGCAACCTATGCTCCATTACACTGCTAAGCAAAAAAAAGGAAAAAAAAAAAGCTAAACCAAAATAATCGCATTCAACTGATCACATCATTATCTAAATAACATAAACCAATAAACCAAAAAATTGCATTCAACTAATTAAATCATTATCTAAATAACATTGCTAGGTAGATAACTTTGATATCAACATAAGGTTAAACATAATAGCCCGTAAATTTGACAAGAATTTAATAAAAAATGAGCTGAAAGAAGCAGTCGTCACAAATAGTATAACACGAGATTCAAAACCCTACAAGCTAGCAGCAAATTTGAAGCATCATTCCAAATAATTAGAGCAGAAAAATAAGGCATTAAATCAAACTTTTAAGGCATCTCCAAAGTTCAAGGCATTTCCATTGTCGCAAATCAAATTAAAGTATCCCGACCAGATTATTTAGCTTTTGTACTAAATGAGCATAAACCCATGCAATGCCCATTAAACATTGTGCTGAAGAGCATGCCAATGTTATTGCTATAGGAGGTTCTACAGTAACAGTGTCAAAAAATAATATTCCCTACAGCTCAAAGCAACTGTTCATTGCATCCTAAAACTTAGGAGCAGCTTATGATAAAAGGATAGGGACTTCTAGAAAGAAAATTGTGAAAAAAACTGAGGTTATAGATTAAGGGGAATCGTGTTTATATAGGAATTTTTGTGCATAATGGGAACTAAAAGGAACTAGTGATTGAATATTAAGACACATGTAAATGGATATCTGTGTGCGTGTAAGGCAAAAAATAAAATTTGTGTGCACGGGTTTTAGGCATGAAACATAATGCCGCACACCTGGACCCATCAAAGTTCCTGAATAGCTGCACTCCCTTAATATATTACATAGACAGAAAATGAGGAGCCTTGAACAACTTACTATTTCATTAGATAAGGTGAACACAGCTAAAGAAAATAATAATAATAATAATAATACAACGTTCTCTAGCATGCAGAGGATGTGATGAATGAACTTACAAAACAACGAAAACAAAAAAACTAGTAGTTATCACAGTATTCTTGAAATTTTTAAACAACCTATAAGGTTCTAATATCCAGTTTAGTATGAAACATGATACTGAAACAAATGTGAAACAATCATCATTTAGCCTTATCTGAACTATTTAGGATCAGCTTCAAGAATACTACCTTTTCTATTTGCTCTTGATAAGAGCTACTTGAGTTAAATATGCCATGTACTAACCTTCTTGATCTTCGAATCTGTGTTATAAGTTAAAAGAAGTAACTTATAAAGTTATATCATGGAATATGCTGGTAGGGTTAATTTTAGATTTAGAGGTGAGCAAGGCATGTTTTTTGAGTGGTTATAGGGCTGATTTTAGCGGCAGTGTTCTAGGGACAAGTTTTGTACAACAAATATGAGAATAAAATAAACAAAAGAGGGCTTAATGAGAGGCCATTTATTTGCTAAAATCCACATGAAAATGAAGAAGAATCTCACAAAACAAGTGACATAAGAGTTGAGTTCTTATACTTAGTAGTGGCCATTACAAAAAAAGATTAAGCTTTTAAATCGATGATATCTAATAATATAAACTTTACTCGAGCTGATCAGATCTACTGATGTAACCTAAACTCAGGCCATCAATGTTACACCCTCCCTAATAAGTAGTATCAAAGTCAATTGCTCAACTAATATAAATTGCTCCGTGCAGCTTTTAGCAACCAAGGACCTTGACAGCTTTGTACGTGATTAAGAGAAGGTTCAAGAGTGGGTGATTCTTACACATGCTCCACATGATTGAATGAACTATTAATGAATGGCATTTGATGACATTGAAAAGCTTATTTTTGAGAAGAAATGATAGACAATACGAAAGGCTTTCATATAAATATGTCATTTTACGATCCACATAAGAGCTGAGAGTTCTCCTAGAGTAAAAAAAATTAAAACTTGACTTGTTCAAAATCTAGCAATCCCTTGACCATTTGATTGAGCTTTTTGAGTTGATGTGTGCCTTATGTATTAGGATCCACTCAAGCCCCTGGTGTTCCACTCTCCCAAGTATTATTCATCTAAAATTAATTTATTATCCAATAATTATAATTGTAAAAAAGGTTGGGAGTTCTGTGAAAAAGCACAAAATCCAGTTGAATATCATTGACAACAAAAAGATTTCAATATTAAAATATTTGTTGAGGAAAATATGGCTGATTTAAGGGAGTGAGGATGAGTAAGGCACACGAAGGAATAAGCATACTGAAGTGAAACATAACAGGAAATTAGGAATTACAGGAATTTAATAAAAACTTGTTAAGCTTGCTAATTTTAAAATTAATGTTTCACCAAATTATATTCTAGGATTTCTTAGTTGTGGTTGTGCTTTGACGTGCAGTTACAAGAAAGATTAACATGACAAACTTAAAATAACAACAAACTTATAGTAAAGCTAAAGGCATAAACAACAAAAATTCACCATGTAACAAATAGAAATTTTACCTTGAGTTCCCCTCACTTTCGCTCTTGAGGTGGTTTTAATGGTTTCATACCTTATTAGAATAAAAGTGTTTGCTTTGTTTTTCTTACGTTTTCTCCTTCGTATTCTCTCTGATTCCACTGTTTTTGGCTGTTTTACTGTGTGGACAGCAGTTTTCATCCTAGATCTATTGGGTTTTGGTGAGAAACACTTGGAAATCCAAGTGTTTCCTATCAAGATGCCACAAAAAGACAACAAACGCCTACAATATTGTCCAACGAAAAGTTAGCTGGAGGGAAAGAAGTTGGTGGATGTCCAATAACTCGCCACTGTCTGGAGATTTGGTGCTCGTCGATGGCAGAAGTTAAAGTGAAAAGGATCTGGTTGACGTAGTCGTCGACAATGTCGTCGGTCTCCAAGTTGAGGTCGAAGAAGGATGATCGGAGAATATCCACTCGTCCTAGAAGATCATACATGAATCTATGATCGTGCTCGGGATCGGCCATTCATGGATAGGGAGGCCAAGGGGATTGGTTGTCTTCTTCCTTGAATATGTAACAAGCATGAGAGGGGAGACGTAGGGGAGGAGGAGGAGCCTTGGTGTGGTCGGCCAAAACAAGAAAAGGGCTAGGTGTGTGTGATTGATTAGAGAGATTAATTGTAGAAAACACAAAGGGAAAGAGGGGAGAGGGGCGGCTAATTATCTCCTTAATTGGAGTCCTTAATGAGGAATGAGATAATTAGGAGAAAGGGAGAGAGAGGGCCGGCCAAAGGAGGAGGAGGGAGGGAGAGAGGGGGTCGGCCAAAGGAGGAGGGGGGAAGTGTCCACATACAATGTATGTGTCTAGGTGCAATGAATGTTAAAATTGAAATTAATCCCAATTTAATTTGAGATTGGAGGGGATTGGGGAGGCTTCCTAAAATAGGTTTATTAATTATGAAAGGTTTTGAATTTCAAATTTAATTTGAATTCAAATTAAGATACTATCCAAATTAATAATAAGACTAATTAGGAATGTGTTTAAGAGGCGATTTGAATTTGAAAACAAGGGTTTGTGGAGGAGGGGCCGGCGGCTTAAGGTGGAGAGAGAGGAGGCCGACGAGTATGGGTGGAGGGGAGAGGTGTGGCCGGAATTTAGGGGAGGTGTGTGGGTGGCCGGCGGTATGGGGTTGAAGGAGAGGAGGTCGGTGGCTTGGTGAGGAGACAAGGGTGGGAAAGATGAAAGGGGAAGGGAAAACCGAGAGCCCGAACTTTTCCGGCAGCTATCGGGTATTGCTTTGTCCCTCTCCTAGGATTCTCTCTTCTCTCAATAGCTCATAAAGAAACGAAAACAAAAGTTGAAATTTTATTCATCATCCATCATAATAGGGAGAGCCATCATATATGCGCCTCAAATAAAAGAAAAATACAAAGACTCAAATGCCCTCGGGGTTATACAACATAAACTAATCCCTCTCAGGGTACAATGATAAATCAGAACATAAATAAAATAAAATACATAAATGCATCATAAATAAATACTTTGAATCGTAGTTGTCGATCTATGATTCCTCTGATGATAGACACATCAAAATCTCCTGTTGATGTCCTCATCACATACTAAATCCCATACAAAGCTTTGAAGTATTTAAAGGGTTAAAGAGTGCATCACACAATTCCAAACAAGTGGAACTGACGGGACAAAGCTTTAGGGTAACAGAAAAAGAATAGTTCCATTCAACAAATCATAACATAGCTAAGCTGTAAACAGCATATGGTGCTATTTGTTCACCATAAGCAGCAGATGAAACGACATTAAATAAAGAGGATAACAAATGTACTATGGCAATTATATAAATAAACTCAAAAGGCATGCTACATGGCCATCATCAATAGGCAGCCCATTAAACTTGGCTTAAATTAACCTATGATTATTCATGGGTTAAATTTTAGTGGAATGTTTAAGTGGGCCCAAATTAGTTAGTTAATCCCAATTCAATCCCGAACTAAATAGATTGAAATACTTAAACTGACCTCTAAAAAATTCACAGCATTAGGACTTCCATCATCTCCGACTAAAATAGACATATATGCTCTCTGCTCTGTAAATGCAACCCCAACCCCCCACTCAATCTCCTCCTGTTTATCATCTCTGCCATTAACAACTTCAAAAAAAAGCTTCTCCAATATTATTTTTGTTAAACTTACACAGAAATAAAGATATTTTTAAATATTAGGCGATTCATAATTGTTTAGTTCACAAGTGCATAGTTGCAATGATAAAAAAGTCAAAATTATGAGATATAAATTGTTAAAATCCATCTGCAATAAGAATAAACATCCATGCCCTTTGTCTCAGTCAATGCAACCCCAACCCCCAGCTATATTTCTATATCAATAATATAGCTTCTCCAATCTTCTTTTCATCATAATTATCAAACAATACAGTAATTTTTAGACATATAAACTGATGTAAATAATTTTTTTGTGATTCATTATTTTTTAGTTCACGAGTGCATATATGTATGGTAAAAAAGTTAAATGCTTCGAATACTAAAGAACTAACATAAGTTGAAGAAATGATTGGAACAAAAAAGAAAAGAAAGATTCAGAGACACCGTTGAATATTATAGAGAACAGAAAATCCATATAAGTCTAAAACTCAATAGTACGGAATGAAACGATTTTGGTATTTTTAAGACTGATCATTTTTCTCTCGCTCCTATCATAAATTATATTCCTCAGAAGAAAATATAAAACCATGAAAAATAAACTAAATAAGACCTCGGGAAGCAAACATAAATTTAATTAAGTCCAAGCACTAGTGAAAAACGCAGGGCTAATAAGAAGGTTCTCACCTCGGGAAGCCATCTCTCATTTTCAGCATCAGCGAGGACGAAGCTGACCCAATCCGAGTTTCTGCCTTCTAATTCTAGCACAAGATCGAGCAAAGAATTACAAAGCCTACACTTGGGTGAGTAGAACTCGACAACCGTCGCTTCCTTCCCACTAGCCAGCGCCGACGCCAGTGCTCGTTGTTCCGCCTCCCCCTGCTCCTCCCGCTTGAGTGGCCTATCCATCGACAACCTCGCAGGCTTGCGACGGAGCTCCATAAAAGGCTCGCCGTTCGTGGCGACAGCAGCGGGATTAAAGAGGATATTCTGCGCGAGAGATCCCAGGTTCTGCAAAGATTTGAAGAGCCATGGGACCGCTAAGTTCCCGCAAGCGTTAGGATTTTTAGGGTTCGAGATAGCATCCCATGGCCATTTCCAGCAGAGTAGCGGGGACTTAGGAGCGGCGCCCATTTCCAGATTGAACAGACAGAGATCAGGACTCGACGGAGCTCCGTTCCGGACCTAAAGATGTATGAATCGAGTCTGGTGTCACTAGAAAAATAATGATTCTCTCAGCTGTTTCGCAACAAGTAGCATTTAATTTTAGTTGAATTTAAATTAAATTCTCTAAATTTGGCTATTTGATATGATATATGTAAAATCCTAAAAAATTATTTGTCAATATAATTTAGAATTTAAAATAGTTGGTTTATTTAGAAATTAAATTTAATGCGGCTTGAATTGAATATATTATAATGATAAATAATAAAATTAAAAATTAACTGAACTATTATTAATTATCAAATTATTTATTTAGGTGTTAATTTTAAATGACTCATTATATCACTGATTATCTAATTCTATTCTTAAATACTATTACGGGTCAACGGGTTAGATTCAGGTCAATTCTGAATTGACTTAAGTTCAAACGAGTTGACTCTAAGCTGAAATAAGCAGACGTTCAAGGGGTTGTATAAAAACATAGTTTTAAAATCAAGATTAAAAAAAAAATGTGGTGTATAAAAACATGAGGATTGCTTGGTTTGCTGCAAACTGTGTAAGGTAATCAAAATTTAGGAAATGTTTTTGCTTGCCTAACTATTATTTCATTTCTCTTTCAACTTCTAAAACTAAATGACGGTATTTATTTTGGAAGCAAATCAACCATGATGGGAAAACACAATTATAAAAAATAAAAAATAAAAAAAAATGTAGTCAAATTACATGAGTGACTTTATCATGGAGCAAAATTTACGCTTCTTCTTCTTTCTGTAAAAAAAGAAAAAAAAAATTACATAAATACATGATTTAATTCGGTAGAAATTTTTCAAAATAATTCTTCTACCGCGCCTCTTCGCCCCGAATATGAATTTTTCCGCCGAGAGTTTCATATTTTGACTCTTCGAAAAATATGAAAAATCTAGAAAAGGAACCCATACTGATGGATCAAGGGAAACTATGCATGAACATTGAAATCACATTATAAGCTTGCTCCGAAAATAATAAAAAAAATTTATGCAAACTTTTTTTTTTCCAAAAGAGAAGCTTATTAAAATAGGGCTGCAAACGAATAGAGTGTTCGACAAGTTACACATGTTCGGGTCAATTATAACTAGTTTGTAATCATTTGATTAAGCAGCCAAACAAGTTTGAATAGTTTTTTTAAATATTCGATTATTAAATAAACAAGCTTGAATAGTTATTTGTTTGGCTGGTTTAGGCTTCGTTTGGGACGAATTTTTATTACTTTTTAAAGCAACTTCCTAGTACAAAAAATAAAATTTTTGTACTATGCAGCTCTTTTATAAAGCAAAAAAAAAAAAAAACATCCCCAAACGAAGCCTTAAAGTTCGTGAAAAAGCTCATCAAGAGGCACATTAAGAAGCTCGATCCATGATCAATATAGAGCTCAATAAAAAGCTCGTGAAGAAGTTTATTAAAAAAACTTGATTAATATTGGTATAAAGATCAATTGAATTTAAAAATTTAATATAAATATTTTAGATTTATTATACATTAATGACATAATAATGATTGATTACTAAATTATTAAATTACTTTAATAGTATAATATCAATTAATTAAAATAAATCACGAATGGCTTTTAATAGAAATTATATTATTATGTATTTATTTAGATTTTTAATTGATGACTATGATAGATAAAAAATGAAAAAAAAATTATTTATTTAGATTTTTTTATAAAAATATTTAATTACACAGGAAGGCGCATTGAGATCAAATTCCTAAAACACTAACGCAATTCTCACTTCGCACTTCATGGATAGAAGCCCGCCGTTGTCAGTCGGCTTTCTCCCTTCAGTGCCGAGCTCTCGTCTCTCTTCGCTGCTCCTGAAGGATCGAAGGCCCAACATCTCAAAACACGAAATCCTCGGCGGAAAAATTCGCAATCGGGGCAAAGAGGCGTGGTAGAAGAATTATTTTGGAAAATTTCTACCAAATTAAATCATGTATTTATGTTATTTTTTTATTTTTTAACAGGAAGAAGAAGAAGCGTAAATCCTGCTCCTTGATAAAGTCACTCAGGTAATTCGACTACATTTTTATATATATAAATATATAATTGCGTTTTTGCATCATGGTTGATTTGCTTCCAAAATAAATACCGTCATTTAGTTTCAGAAGTTGAAAGAGAAATGAATTAATAGTTGGGTAAGCAAAAACATTTCCTAAATTTTGATTACCTTATACAGCCACTTGAATATATGCTTATGTCTTTCACAATCTTTAAACTTTTTTAAAGTTTTTTTCCGTGCTAGATCAAAGCTTTGCTGTAATTTCTCATGGCTCTGCTGCTCATGCCCTTGCTCTTTCCTGCTTAGAAAACCAAGAACATGTGTTATTGATACTTTAAATAGCTGCAATTCCTGTACTTGTACACATGGTTTTTCCTGCTGCAATTGCTGTAAGAAATGTTGTACTTTGCCTCACTACGATTTTCCGAGTTTCACTTGCCCCAGCTGTTCTTGTGGCTGTCTGCAACTGGTTCCTCAGTTGTAAAGAGCAGCGGTTCTGTAGCTGCGATAAAGCATGCTGCAGCAGTTAATGTATTTGTTGATCAAGTTTTCGTTTTGTTTTTCTTCTGCATTCTCTTAGAATCATTCTATTTAAATTTCATGTTCTTTCACAATTACTGTTGTTTTAGTAAATAATTTTCTTGTATAATCTCTTCCAGTTCGGGAAGAGCAGTGTTAAGATTCAGGGATGAGAATTAGATATCCGAGTTCTTGTTCATTCACAAAGTGAAAGTAAACCCTAAAAATATAATAACTCCAAGTCAGCAAGTCACCTTGATTTCGCAAGACAAGTTGAGAACAAAGAGGGAAAACTCTAGCTAGTATTGTAAAAGAGTCATAGTAGAGTACTGACATTATCGAGCTCGATTTGTCAGTCAGAAAATCAGCTTGAGCTCGAAGATAGAATCAGGCCCAAAAATTGAACTCAGAATTGGACTTGTCTTTTAACTCCATGGGCTCACTGGTAACTGGCAAAATCATTGCGAAAGAAGCAGTTGCGCCGAAGAAGTCGACGAGAGATCATCGATCAGACCTGTTCGGAAGAAAAATTATTACGTCGGCGTCCGGATTCAGTGGTCCAGACGAATCGGCAAACCGCCACCAGGCCATGCAAGTCCACCAGTGTCGAGTGATCAGAGTGGCACGTACCGAATTTGTTACCGCCGACCTTCAACCGCCCACTTAGATAATTGACCTTCTGCTGAGAAGAAGCGTAGCCGAAGAAGCCTTTCCAAAAAAAAGAAAAGCCTATCTTTGAAAGTTCAGCACCGTAGCGTGAAAGAACATTTATTTATATTGGGAAATCTACTAGCGGAAAGCAGTAGTATTAATTAAATTAAAACTTTGTTTTAGACATATATATATTTTTTTCAATTTATATATAGAATAACAATAAAAAAAATATATCTGCTAATTTATATATAATATATAAATAAATAATCTCATTTTATCTTACAATATTTAACTCTAAAACTGACGACATTATTCCACATACTAGAAATTCTAATTGAGTTCAGATCACTGTGAGTCATATAATATGTGTTAATATATAATTGATTTATTGTTTAGTTAGTGAACGATATATTTGAAATTATAATATTATATATATATAATATTATTTGATGCATATTATTATTTTTTTTAATTAAAACTTTTATTAATCAAATCTAATATACACTGAAATTGCTACTAATAGTCTTGTTTGCTATGTATATTATAATTTTAAATTAATATACAAAACATTTAGTAATTAGCTTCATATTTTATTCAATATTTAGCGTTCAGTGTTTCAGGTCTTATATTGTTATAAATAATTACTTGAATGTCTTCCCAAATGTTTAAGAATAAAGAAATTGATTTATATACAACATTTCAATACTTCTAATCATTAAATATTATTTTATCAAAAAATCATAATAAAACCCATTTTTAAAACTAAGAAATTGTACTATAATCATTAAAATGTATATAAACCGTTTAACGTATAATTCCCAAATGTATTTCCGTCTTGATATCATCAATCCTTAAATTTAATTTTTAAACTTGCTCAATTACCGAACTTTATGTTTTAATTGCTTTCTTAATAATTTAATATTCACATCTTAAAAAACGCCACCAAAAGTCACACTGGTTAATTATTTACATTTCTTTTATACTAAAACGTTAATATACAAAAAATAAGCTCAATTTTTTAAAACGATAATATTTCAAAAATCGGATTACCTCAGCCACCAGTACTTTCAATGAAACTTTTGAAACATATCAATTAAAGTAAAAAATATCTACCAAATTTCTCTAAAAAATAATCAAATTATAAAAAGAATGACATTACTCTTGCCAACAAAACTCTTATGGATGAGTAGTGAAATTAATAAGTGAAGTTTAAGCTAATAATGATGAAATTGAAAATAGATTTATAAATGAATCTGATCCTCGCGAAAACGAAAGCTCAGACCAGAGTGTAATTTTTATCTTTCAATAATTATATTTCTAGAATCATTTACTTTCAATCTGACCTGATATTTCCCTTAACCCCTCAACATTTTTTTTTTTTCCCCTTCACCCCGATTGCCCACCTAAAATAAGACAGCGTTTATTGCTTTTTTCTGGTGTGTGAGTAGCGAGTTGTTAATTATTATATCCTTTGCAACCGTAAGCAGATTAAACTCTTATGACGCCGGACGTATCATTCTAGCCTCGCACACTAACTCATACAAATCCTATTATATAATTGCTCTCGGCTTTTGTAATTTAATAATGGTTTCTTATTTTTCTTATATGAGTCATACTATTTTATGGCAGGATCATTGTGAAGACATTTTTTCTTATAAGCAACCATAATATTCTCATCTTCTCACCTAACACTTTCTTTCAGTATATTGTCATTCTGTAAAATGAACTTATAGTCGTCACGTGTCTAAAATATATATATTAGAAAAATAATAACCTGTCGAGTGTATTAATGGTACGAGTGTTGGTTAGTGCGAAGATACACAAAATTAAACTAATTTGACCTTTTTTTTTC